TTTGTATTGTTCGATACATATGCGTACCGAACCGAAAGCACTGTATCGAACGGTTCAATATCGATACGAGTATCGTTGCACCCCTAATAGATAGACAGATAGATAGATAGATATTATGCACTTGCTGATTTTATAACCTTAATATTTCTACATTGGCAATACTCCCAGATGTAAACACCATAAAAACAAAAAAAACAATGTAAAGTCGTACATTCTCATGCTGTCACTCAGTTTGCTTTGCACTTACTGGTCCACAAAAAGAAAACACCTACAGGTAGAAGTATAACATCCATTGTGCATGGCTACCACCTTTCTCATTTATTCATGATTTCATGGTGCAAATTGGAACAACAATAACCAGGATCACAGTGCAAGTAGCAGCTGCAATCAGTGCTCCAATCTTACACGCCTTGGCCCTCCTAAATTCTGCCTCTTTCCTCTTGAGCAACGAGTCATAGCCTGGGGTGTAGATGTCCTCCATCCAGTACTCCAGATTATTGGGGTTTAACGACTCCTGGGTCTGATGAAAGACACAAAGACTATAAATAACAATTAGGGATGTTTTCCATTTGGCTTTAAAAAAAAACATTTTTTAATTAAATGCTGTGTTGAGGCTGTTATTTTTAGCATCTGCATGGATGTTAAAATCACCCACAATAATTGTTTTATTGTGAGTGAGAAGTTAGACAGAAACTCTGTGTGAGGTCCAGGTGTACCATCGGTGGTAGCAAAGCTGGGGCGGAGGAGGCAGAGCATCAGGCTTTCAGATGAGTCTCTAATTCAATGATCCTGGTATCCAGAGCTTCCAATAGGCTTATTACTATAAACGTCTGAATGAATAGTGAAAAGCTCATATTCTTTAAATTACTTACAGAGTGAAATTATGTATTTTAAATGTCTAAACTCAAGAATTTCAAATGAATAACCAGAATATCTGTTGTGTGTGTATGCGTGTGTTTGTGTGTGCGCATGCATGTGTGTCTGTGCATGCGTGTGTGTCTGTGCATGCGTGTGTGTCTGTGCATGCGTGTGTGTCTGTTAGTGTAAGTGAGTGAAAGTGGGGAATTGTTATCAAATGAGCAGGAAAAAAGTTTTCAATCTTTAACTATTTTATGGGTTTTATTTTAAAACTGTGTGTTTGTGGGGAGATAAACTATGTCTGATATCAAAATTATCTGTCATTACCATACATTTAAATTCACCACCCATTGCTAATTAAATAGGTCAATCAGGAGCTGGAATTCCAACCGGACCATGCAGCTTGCCTGGTTGGAATACGCCCAAAACTGCATGACCTGCTGGTCAACTTGTCTGCTACCTTTTGAGGCCTCCATAGGTTACCAACCTCCACTCTGGAAGACCACCCAAGCAGCCTTCCTTTGGACGAAGGAGCAAAATAAATGGCTGCCTGACTGGAACAGGACTACTGCACTTCCCTGTACTCGTCCACCTCGGCCTTACACAGAGTTTGTCTGATTTCTCAGACTTTTTATCTGATTTAGTGCTCAGCTCAGATAAAACAATTATTGTTGTGGGTGATTTTAACATCCACGTAGATGCTAAAAATGACAGTCACTCCCCCCCTTTCTGGTAATCGCACGGAACAAATCAATTTTTGCCAGTTCAAAGCACAGCACACACCTCTTTTTCTGGGTCACCCCTGGGTACGATAAAAAAACCCTGTATTAACTATGACAAGGATTGTATCTCGGGTTGGAGTAATAGCTGCCTTAAGTGTGCCCCTCTATACGTCCAAAGTTGCAAGACCTCCTCGTGTATGGTCTTAATTTATTTATTTGTCAAAGTACTGTCCTTGGTGCTGAAGACTGAAGAAGTCACTTGATGAGTGACCAAATGTTTCTGGAAACGCTACATCCAGATGAACACAATCAACTTTTCGGTACTTGGTGCTGAATATAAATGGCCAGGATGGATTCTTGGCTCCTTTTGGACAATATCATTGTGTGATTGTATTACGAAACAAAACAAAAATTAGATACTCCAACAGATTTCATTACCCACTACTTCTTGTTGCTTTTGGTGGGATTGAAGTGAAATGGTTTCAATAATACATGCATATTTTTGTGAAGATTTTAAGTGATAAGTATGTAAAACACAAACTATATGAGATAGAAGACAGAATTTAATGAGTGACAAGAGGTGAGTGGAGAAAAAAATGCTCAGTGGATCATAGAAGGACCCCCAGAAGCCTGTATCTACAGCAGCATGACTAGGGTATGGTTCAGAAATTAAGTTGCTCGACATTTAATAATATGCAATATGTATGCAGAGCCCAGAACTGTACCTGCAGGTCAAGAGCAGTGAGCTGCTTTTCCTTCTTTCCTGAATTGCGTTTGTATTCCTCAATGGTCCAGGATGGCTGGCCACGTATCCCAGCTGATGGACTGGTGAGCCTTACATCAGCGTACAGAGAGCTGTCTTTCATATGGGCCTTGACAGAAGGGTTGAAGTGATGCGGTGAAAAAACCTGCTCAGTCAGGTAGGAATCCTTTGATTGTTTTTGGAGTCGTTGCACTTGAGGGAGCTCATATTGACGCTTTCGATCTGTCTAAGAAAACAGCGAAGGATAAACATAGCAGATTTTAATCACTGCAGAGAAATATTTACAACCATCTCACAGATATATCATTACGTCCAGATACTTTCAGCACTACTTATGTTCTTTTAAACTTGTTCCTGAGTTAACTTCAATATTCACTCCCTCCAAATGATCGATTTTTAGACACCATTGCTACAAGAATGCTCAGAAAAGTCCCATTCACTTTTCAATTAAATTCAATTTTATTTATAAAGCACCAAATCACCTCATGGTGCTTTATACTGCACGGTCATGACCCCACGATAATACAAAGACAACAGAAAACCCCAACAATCACTTGATCCCCCTTTGAGCAAGTGCTTAGTAACAGTGGAAAGGAAAAACCCAGCTACACACACACACACACACACACACACACACACACACACACACACACACACACACACACACATAACACACTCTCACTCACACTTACACATACCCAAGAAACACCTGATTCCAGGTCTCTCTTGGAAATTAGATCTCAATGAGATTTTTACCTGGCTGAATAAAGGACTAATAATACCCACGAACCCACTAATGACACACACGCACACACTGACAATCCCCCGGGCGGTGCGGTAAGGAGACGTCCCTCTGAAACAGCAAGCCAGGACGCAGCCACAGCGCCCCACAAACGACCTGTAGACCCCCGCACCTGGCAGAGTGTGACACAGTGTGCTGTGGAGTGTGAGTGTATATACGGGATGACTATTACTGTATAAAAACTAGAGTGCTGTTGGGTGGGGGACGTGACACAAACACCCCACTGCTGAACAGTAGTACTTACACACATCCCCCAGCCGATGGAGACAGGATTTTGAATTGATTCTGGATTTAACAGGAAGCCAATGAAGGGAAGCCAACACAGGAGGAATCTGCTCTCTCTTTCTAGTCCCTGTCAGGACTCTTGCTGCAGCATTTTGGATCAGCTGAAGGCTTTTCAGGGAGTTTTTAGGACGTCCTATAATAACAAATTACAGTAGTCTAGCCTAGAAGTAATGCAATAATATGAATCCTACAAAAATGAATACTTCAGTTTTGAATATGATTAGTCTATCTCTATTAACAGGCTGCATACTACAGGCTTTTAAGCTGGCAGTAAATCATTGCATAAAAAGCCATCACTTGACCCAGCATCTTAGCTGATTATAGACCAATCTCTAACCTTCCTTTCTCAAAAAATCTCAAAGATTCTTGAAAGAGTACTTGTAAATCAGCCAAACTGATAATCAGAAGAAATACTATATCAGAAAAGTTTCCCAATTCTTAGTTTCCAAATTATAGAACAGAAACAGTAAAGCATACAAATTCTAACGAGCTACGGTGGCATTACCTTACTCTGCAGCAGCACTGTGAGGAATCTTGGAGTCATTTTTTAACCAGGATATGTCCTTCAATGTGCACATTAAACGAATATGTGGGGTTGCTGTCTTGTATTTGTGCAATATCTCTAAAATTAAAAAAACATCCTAACTCAGAGTGAAGCTGAAAAACCTTCATGGGAGAATTCGAGGCTATATGAAAACCTTTCAGGTGATTTGAAATGCTGCAGGCAAAGTACTGACAGTGACAGGAAAGAGAGCAAATGTCTCTAATGCTGGCTTCTCTTTATTGGCTACCTGTTAAATCCAAAATCAAATTTAAAATGTTTCTCCTCATACAAATTCTTGAATAATGAGGCCACATCTAATGTTAAAGACTTCATAGTAACATATCACATCACCATATCATAGTACCTACACCCTGCCAGTGATCAGATAATCAGCTGGCCAAAGGTGGAGACAGAAGACACTGACATCAAGTGGCTGGACGAGGACGGACTGAAAGACAGCTAAGAAGCAGTGATCATGGCAGCACAGGAACAGGCTCTAAACACAAGATCCACAGAGGCTGGGGTCTACCACACCAGGCAAGACCCCAAAGATGTGCAACATAACTGGGTGGCCAAAATAATATACAGGAACATCTGTGGTGTTTCCTGGAAGTCAAGGTCAAAATGGGACACGTCCTCTAGTGTGGTTGAGAATGACAGAGCTAAGATCAGGTGAGACTACAGATACAGACACACAAACTGGTGATGGCTAACCAACTGGACATTGTAATGGTGAACAAGCTGAGGAAGACAGTGATCGATGTAGCTATCCTGAGTGATAGCAACATCAGGAAAAAGGAACACGAGAAGCTCAAGAAGTACCCAGAGCTGAGAGATGCCAGCTTCTTCCTCTGCAGCTCTGCCATACGTTCTGTATTCGGTTTCCAGTCCACTTACTATTAAGTCATTCATACTGCAATAGCAACTTCTGTTGTTTGGAGATATTAGAAAACTCTCCTGACATACAATATAGAGATTTCTTAATCCCCTCGATCTCATCCTCAGAGACTGTACCCATCTTTGCTCAATTAAGACATAAACAAACACAGTAACCTGTTTAGTTGTTGCTTAGCAGGAAGTTGACAGTTGGCTTGATGTGTCAGCACTAGAGGGAAGCAATAGAAACCTTTCCCCTTTTGATTGTTACGCTAGTCGGACACCACAAAAGCGTGTTACTTGAGAATGTCAAGCAGATTGTTGATATTAGCCGACCTTGTTGGTTTGTGACGCCAATCAGTTGATAATGTGCAAATGACAAGGCACAGGAGCAAAACATAAGGTGCTTTGTGAAGGGAAAAGTAGGAGCATTCACTGTCCACAACCCTAGCCGGTCTGTCTTCTGCAAAAATGGCTGGAGGCTAATAAGGAAGCCTGGTCCTGGGCTATTGAAGCCTGGTTGTGGCCTGGTGGCTGAGCTTGGTGACTGCTGGAGGATCCTGGGCCTGATGTTGGATAAGAAGGCCTGACTCACGGTCTCTGCTCTGATTCATGCCAAAGGTGTTCCATCAGTTAGAGGTCTGTCCAGGCCAATCAGATGTTTCTACACCAGGGTCACCAGTAAGACACAACACACAAGCTTGTTAAGGTGACCAAAATGCAGCCAAGACTAAAACAATGACTGGTTTCTTATACTAACTCCAGTTCAGCATAATGGATGATCTAACATCACCTTCACAAGAAGAATGACAGATACAAATAAGAATGTGCATTTAGTTAAGTAGACGAATATCAGCAGTTATATTTATAAACCTACTGCCCCGATATGTCGTCTGATCATACAAGTGATAACTCCAGGACACAATATACATTCCAGATTGTTTCCCTTTAAAAACTCTCTCATGCTTTGTGAATACAATGTAAAATGATTCCATATAATCTACAAGTGCCATGCAAAATTCTTGTTACTGAATTTGTGTTTCTTTATACAAACACACACACACACACACACATACCTCTTTAACCTTCCGATGCCTATCCTTGTCTCTGTCCTCAGGGTGACAGGAGTAGGACACAGTCCCCCGGTCCTGTAGAGAGTTGGTTATGCTAGCAACCTTCGACTCGGTAGCCATGGGCTCCTCGTTGAGTGAACAGGAAGACCTTCTGAATAGCATGCCTTTCTTCACAGCCTTAATCCCAAGAGTGTTGCTATTACTCCCATCTGAGCAACACCACTCTCCGACATATCCATTGTCTGTTTTCACATTGTGACCAGTGGTGTTGCACTGGTAAACATGAGGTGAAAGAGCAGTACTGTTGAAATGTGGATGTGGGTAGGGTTGAGCCTTTGTCGGTGTGGCATTGGACCTGGATGATGATGATGATGCTTTCTCCCCGTGCCTCCCATTGGCCTCAGGCTCCTGGATCTTTTCATCCAGTTTGTTGAGCTTGGAAAGTACCTGGGATATTTCACTGCGAACCCCCGACAGAGACTCCAACTTCTTCTCAATCTCACCAATTCTCCTCACAAGCTTACACACACTTGTTTTGAGCTCATCATCAGTGTTTTCAAGTGAATGGAACAGGCGGTCTACCTTAGACTTGGCTAATTTGACTGTGTTGCATTCAGGGGAGCTGTCACCTTCTGACTTTACCTGAGACAGAGACCCATTACTATTGTAACATGATGACTGAACAACACCCAGAGAGTCACAAACACTCATATCATCCAGAAAACGAAAAATATCACTTATGTCATCACTAATGACCTCACACTCCTCAACTGAGCGTTTCAAACCGTGCCTTTCGCTGTCGTTATACTTAGATTGGTATTCTTTCAGCTTCTGTTCAATCCGCTCAGTTTGTGTTCCAACACTAGAGGCGCTTTCCCCTTCTTGAAAGGATGCATTCTTCGTATTTTTGTCCCCAAACCTTTTGGCTACGTCTCCATTGTCCAGACCTCCGGGTCCCCTACCGATCAGTGATATATCCTTGGGTTTTATTTCAGTACTTTTCTTTGCAAAGCCAGGTGACGCTGATACCTTTTGCATCGGGGTGTGAAAATATTGCTCACTCTCAGTGGTAATAATGTTACACTGATGGTTTTCTTTGAGTGGTCTGCTGCTTTGAAAAATCCTTTCTGAAACAGGAGGGCCCTCTTCTGCGTTGAGACTGAGGCTCTTCATGGGCCATACTGGCTGTTTCCCTGCTTTGTTAATGTGCTTCTTGCTACTAACACACTCAGAGACGGTGGTTGGACCAAAATAAGTTGACACCTGTAAGTCATCCAGGCTCTCGTGCTTCACCCTCCGTCTGTCCTGTAGGGGGGAGTTAAGTGGCGGTTCAAAGTAGGGGTTACTGTAGGGCAGTTCGAAGCTACGGTTGAAGAAGGTAGCAGGCTTACGTAACTCCCTATTGTGGTAACCTTCAGCAGCCTTACTGCCCTGTTTGCACTCACTGGTGATGACCTGCAACAATAACCAAGACAAAGATGGAGTTGGCTTAAAGGCACAAAAATGCAGCAATTATTAATCATAACTCGGGGATTAAGAAAGTTTAGAATTATGAAATAACACAATACTACAGAGAAATCTGGGCAATAACTGATTTATAAAATACAAATGGACTAATTTGATCTTGGGTGTAGAGAATCTAGTCACATCATCCATTATGTTACTATTTTTTAGCACATCAATCAACTTTAATTACAAGACAATAGAGGTGTCAGGAACATCTGTATCAATAAACTGTACAAAACATTTTTATTATACTATGTGTGTGTGTTATTGACAGGACATCGAATCTTTCATGTTTAGTTGGTTTAGAATATTTGGGATGTGAGATTATTAAGATAACACTATTATTCACTAAATCAAAGCAGGTATTGATAATAGTGTGAGAAAATAAGTAAATATTAAAACACTCTCGTGTGTGTTGTACACAAGGTGTCACTTTAGCTCAGTGGGTGAGCAGGAAACCACATGACCGGCGGGCAGCAGCCCAGGTGTATGACCTGTGGCCTTGTGCTGCATGTCCACCCACTCTCCCACTTTCTGTCTGTCTTTACTGGTTCACAATTCTAAAAGAAGCAAAACATTTTCGACACGGTCAGTTCAGGGAGCCAGCATATGATTAAGGGTCGCAAAGGGGAAAATGCACTCACTCAGTACTTGCATATTCTTTATAATTTGTCTGTTCAGAAAATGGAGGCTTAGGTTAGCACTTGTTGTTTTTGTGACAATGAATATTTCATTGGGTGGCTGTTACATTTCCTGACACCAGCTGTATTTGTCAGTGTGAGGAATGTTTACTTTGCTAAAGCAGAAGAGTCAAAGTTGAGGAGAAATACTTGTGGTGTCATATCATAGTATTGTGTTGTTTGGCCATCAAACTAGTGAGCAGCAAAACATATGATCAAGGCCACCGGCCTCTGGGTCACACTTTAACAACCTTGTATTATTGTTTTTTTTTTCATCACTGCATTTCAGAGGACGTAAATAAAATGCCCATAACATTGCCTTCAAATTTTTAAAAATGTTTTACATATATGTTTATGTGTTTGTGTGCATTTTTGTGTGTCTACAAACACGGGTTAGGGTATAATTTAGTATATTTAAATTATGAATCTCCAATAGACTATTCAACTCAAATGAAACTCAAATTTCCATTTCGTTTACTAAACTTGTGTACCATCTCATATGTCACCTGGCCGTCTCCCTATAGACATCTGTCTCAGTAATTCCTTTCAACAGCACCCTAAAAACACAAACCTGTGGTGAAAAAGCCACAAAATTGTGAAAATCCTTCTTAAAATCGTTTCTCTTCTGGATGCAAGTGTGAAGAGAGAAGGGCTCTGGATGTCCCATGTTCTGCAGGGACTCCTGGTCAGTGGTGGACTCGGTGTCTATGTCCATAGGAAAGTAGGTGCTCTGCATTTCACAAGGTGGTGATGGTGGACTGCTGCTAGAGTACTGAGGCAGATGATGCAGCTTGTCCAGAGAGCCTGCTCTACATTTCATGTCTTTCCTCATGCCCAGGAGGAAGTTTGGTCCTGAGGAGACAAGAAAGCGCTGCCGGCTGTTGCAATCAGAGGAATTAGCACAGGGAGGGGCGTTCTGAGCCACAGGATGCTGCTGAGAGTGGTGGTGATGGCGCCCTTCCCTGGGGTGATCCATGTGCTCATAACCGATCCCCCTGTCACAGTCCTGATACTTAAGGTGATCACTGTCAGACCTGCAGAACTCCACTGACTGACTCTTGTGAAACGTGGCTCTTTGAACTATAGGAAGCTTATCTTTGGCTATTCCTCCATTCATGTGGATCAAATTGAACATGGTGACAATGTCCGCTGCAACCATGAGCTTTTTGGACAGCGGGTCCTCAGTGGAACAGCGCATCTTGTCCTTGAAGAGGGTGGCTGGGAAGGCAGGGTCCAGGCAGGCTGTGTGGAAGAGCAGGTTGCGGAGCTTGGCCAAGTGCACCAAGTCAAAGCGAGCACACAGAGACTTGCACAGGTCCTGGTAGGACATGGTGGTGTGCTTGGTGTCCAACTCTTCCAGGATCCGAACCAGGAACAGAGAATACTCTGGGAGGGAGTCCATGGCTGCTGGATGGCAGGAAGAAAGAATCGGTTCTTCCTCAGGAGAGGCTTGACACCTGGAAACAACACAGTCAAATGTTCATTCTGTGCTAATCTGGTTTTCTGTGAAATAAGACACATAACAGAATCAAACAGACACAATGAAGACAGGCCACAGTCATAACAACGAATATAATGGACGAAAAAGTTAACACAATTCCTTCCCATCCAATCGATAACCTACATTCTGACAATAACAGCAATAGTGACATGTCCGTCAAAATAAATAAATACAAATCAACATTTCACGTTTTTAGTTGTATTCAGGGGCGGATCTACTGCGGTGGCAACTAATCTCTTGTCATCCTTGTGCCATTGTAGTTTTGCATATGACAGTGTTGTCTATTGCAGTGAGATTTTAGATTTCAACACTGTAGAAATGGAATGAAGGTGTGCGGTATTAACCCTCTGGGGTCTACGGACACGTCATCGCCTCCAAATCACATGACATAGCAACAAGATGCAGACTGACTGAGTCGTCATTTCAATTTCAATTTCCTTTGACAGTTCAGACTTCAAACTATATAGTAGTTTTTAAATTGTGTTAATACGGCATGTAAAAACAGAGTTTTATATATATAGACAATGCTTTTTACTATCGTCACGTTTTGTGCAAGAAGAAATTGTAAAAACTGCATTTTCTAAGGACAGCACAAAACAACAACATGAACAACAACAACAAAACGTCACTACTTTCCTATTGGTGGGAAAATGTACCATGTCGACCTTAGGAAGGTGAGAGAGTTTTGGGAGTGACGATGGTGAGAGCAAGTGAGCGAGAAAGAGGAGACATCAACAGTGTGGTTTGAGATTTGAGAGATTTGTGACATTTAGCGTGTTTGGAGTGTACAGTTAGTGTATACTGTAGTCATTGTGAGAGTGAATGAATAGTGGTATTGTAAAGCGCTTTGGGTGCCTTGAAAAGCGCTATATAAATCCAATCCATTATTATTATTATTATTATTATTGTTTTGTTTTGTGTGACACTGAGGGCACTGCTGGACGTCACAGTCGCTGCCAAAAAGTCATCAAAGGCAGATTGCAGTGTAAACGCTGTCTCCAGGTGGGAAACAGGAGTGATACACTTCCTGTTGTCATACCTGCAGGTTTCAGGAGTGTGATGTGCTCCTCTGTCTTGTGGTGGACAGAAACTATTTTTTGGAGTGGCACAAATAATTTGTGTGGCATCTTATTGTGACACCTGATTGTTGTGTAATTTTAGTTTTAGTAGTAGGCTCAAATAGTTGTACAGAAAACACAGAGGCATTGGCTGCATCTTTAGAAAAATAGTTGTTTATAACTTTATTGTATGCAAAAATTGTGCATAAGTTTTTAAAATTCACAGTTTTCGCTAAACATGTTTGTGGTTTTTACAGTAACAAAGTACAACTTTCTTCTACTCAGATTTTGGGTTTTTTGTGTGATTTTAGATTATTGTGCCCATATTATACTATGACAGTATGCCAGTGAAAACATAACTGTAAATTCAGATTGTGCTGAAATAAAAGATACCACACAAGACAAGGTAAATAATTTTTAAAGGTGAAATACAAAGGTAAAATGAAAAGCAGTCAAAAATGGCCAGTTATACCCTGGCCCTCAATAAATTATGACAAATTAGGTTTAAATTTCAGGTGAAAAATCTTTTCATGACAGTGCAGATTTTGTGTAAATGTAACCTTGTAACCACGTGGTTATTTCTAATTTAACTAAACCACCTCATGTTGTGTAGATTTCTGAATTTTGTACTTATTGGGCTATGTTTATTTATTATACAGGCTATACAGTACATGAAATCTACATTCACTTGTTTTATGTAACTGATATTTTCCATTTGTTTGGGCTAAAGAAAATAAGAACCTACGAAACGTGTACATTTACTGCGTTTGACGTATTTTAACCATATATAATGCATATTACAGAATGTATGTAAAGAAATTGCTTTGATTTTGCCACCCCATTTGATTCCTATGCCACCCTAAGAAAATTTCTTTAGATCCGCCCCTGGTTGTATTTGTACAAAAATCACTTACACGGACTCACTGTGAACAGAGCTGAGAATCATCTGATCAGCTGGGTGCGGGATCGAAACGGCACGGCGCTCGTTAGAGCCAAAAAACGGGAAAATGAATGGAGGATCATCTGGATGTGAATCCGCAGCGCGCACCCTGCAGCATCCAAAAACGCCTTCAGCCCGTTACATTATCCGCCAGCCTACAGAGGAGCAAACCAAACCCACACGCATGACCACAGCTAACTGTGAACACAATGACATTTAGTGTCCCGGTTGGTTTAAACGTTAAACACGGATCCACGCTCCTGCCCACGCAGAGCGGGCTGTAGTGAATCCATTGACCTACGTTTTCCCTCCTGGTTTACTGCTGACTACAGCTGTGGGTCTGTCGCGAAGGGCCTGGGTGGAAATTCAAACTGCCTGCTGTGCGAAGCCTGAGTACCATCAAATTAACTGGACACCAACAGCACTGATTTCCGCTTTCAGAGGAAAAGCTTGAGAAGTAACACAAAAACAAAAACACGTCTTCATTGCATCAGCAGTTTGATTTATCTTATTGCTTTCCAGCAACGTCATCAGTGTTTTTAATGCATTCATCTATTTGTTTGTTTGCATTTCAGTTTAACTTTGCTTAATTATAGCAGATTTTATCTGCCAGAGCGACCCATCGTTACAGTGTTTAATCGCTCCCTTCATGGTGTTTTGCAGTAACAACATCGCTTTGACATGTAATGTAGCACCCGAAGAACCGCGTTGAAAAGATGCGGGCATTTATTTTGAAGGCGGAGAGTCGTATTTCCGTTCACAGACTGGGTGATGCTGTGGGGTCGCTGCGGTTCTTTGTTTCTACTCAGAATGATGTAACTACACTTAGCATCAGACACAATATGCCGTCTGCGATCTCACACGCGCTATTATTTCACAGGATGCTACACTTGACATCTGTGACTGCTGACCAGTAATCAGTGTAGAAAAATTAATAAATATACAAACAAAAGTGTCATGCATATCTCATTGTTATTGAGAAATAGTGCGTTTAGGTTGTTTGTCGCTGTTTTGATTTTTTGTTTTGATTTTAAATCAGTGTGTCACACTAACTTTTGTTCCTTAACCATATGCAGTGTACATTTGATCTGCAGTGGGCTGGTCCAGTAAAACCATTGTACATAACCAATAAACATGAAGCATGCTTGAACAGGAAAATAAATAATATGCATTTTGTGCCGTGCAGTGATCGACATTAGGGTTTGATTAGCACGTAATGTTAAAAACTAAAGTTCTTGTTACATTTAGTGAGCTATTTTAACTCTATTCTATATTTGAAGTATTTATAAATGTACAAATATTTTTACTTTCTCTGAATTCTCTTTATTTAAATTAGTTTGTACCTTTTAAGATGTCAGTAAGCATAAAATCATCTATTTATTTAAGCTTTTTGCTATTTATGGAGGACAACATGACTGCGGTATGACACAAATGTGGGCGTGTCCTCATCTCCCAGAGGAGTCCAAATTGTCATCAAACAGACCAACAGACAGAAAAAAACATTTGAAAATAAACAACCAAACTATGAGCTGTGATTTAATTACTTATTTACTACTTGATTTAATTACTTTATGATCTCTGTGAAAATTTCTTCCACATCATTCACTGTATATTTCACAGCACTCAGGTACTGTAGGTGCAGTGAATGCTTAAACTGTACTGACTGGAATGACATTCAGTGACATTTAGTATACTTTGTTGGGATTTGGTTGGGTTTTGATGAATTCATCATCCAACTTTTGAGTATTACTTTTCAACTGAAACTAAAGACAAGCATCATGTAAAAACATAAAATAAAACCACACATTGTCTATGAATCTATGCACTCACGTATTAAAACAAATTAACTTAAATCAGTAGTGCCATCTCCGGTCTTGGCAGAGGGCAGTGATATAAGGAATAGGAGAACTGACAGCTATTCTTAAAAAAATAAAAATAAAAAATCCATTTACCTATTTTTTAAAAACGATTTTGGAAATCGGAAAATGGTTTTTGAAACGAGGTTTTCATTGAGAGTTTAATTCTTTTTTGTGAAATTCATTAATTAATGGATCAATAATTCATCCTTGTTTACAGGAGGTAAACAACACAGACTCAAACACAGGCTGAGATAACACAACTAAGATCACTGAGAACTAAAGAAACCCAAAAACATGAACAACAATAATTAAAGAATTACAAAGACTGAAACACAAATACTGGATCGCAGTTTCAGTACCGTGAGAGTAAAAGTGTGTTTTAAACAAGACTTAAAAACAGCCTGGCACTTTTCTGTCACCAAGTGGGTCACAAATCTGGGACACTGTTAACATAAAAATCACACAGCTGCTCAGAGTGATGTCAGGATGCAGGATGGTTGTTTCTCTTTTCTGCTCTCAAATCGTGTACACGTGATGGTGTACCTGTATCTTAAACGTTTCACCCTATATACTCATTGTGTTGATCGACAGCGGTGTCAAGAAGTGTTTGAACCTTTCCTGATTTCCTATTTTTTATATGTTTATCACACATAAATTGATGATCAGCAAAAAATGTAATTGTTAGACACAAGTCAACACAAAATGCAGTTTCTACCACCAGCATATCTCACTGTTTATAAGTGAATTCTAAATTTACGTGGCGAATTCTAAAATATGAAAAAATGTCAGATTTCAAGATTTACATTTAGTCTTAAAAAAAGACCACTTTCTAGGCTTTTCCAGAATTTTCAGCTGCACGTCACAACCTTTTAATCAAGTTTCAGGCAAAAATGTTCATAAATATAAGAGATACTTAAATCACAGCATAAAATATTTTTAATACTTACATACAGTATTCTTCATAGAAAGTATAATTTTCATTTTATTAAATTAACCATCTATGACACGTCTTTATGCATGAATATACAAACAAATGCATGCATACACAAATACCCAGCTCTCAATCAGCACGGTGAAAAACACTTACTATTGAAATTTTATTAATCAAACATGGTGTATGTGCAACTAACAAAGAACAGTACAAGAATAATAAAGAATATTTATACCATAAGAAAAAAAGTATTGTCAAAACAATGGTATCAATCCACCAACAAATAAAAGCAGACAGCCATTAATTGTAAGGATCATACACGGACATAATCTGAATTCCACAAATGTGAAACAAGTTATAAGATAGCACCATTCAACCAACTGTAAAACACGTTTATCATATGATGATATACACACCAACACGCATGTGTTCTCCCTGACTGTATAAGGGAAATGAACTGGCATTCATACAGCACCTTCTAGTCTTACAGCTAAAAGCATTAAAGACCCCATAAAATTCATCAAGTATTACATTTTTTGGCCATTTGAGAAAAAATATTATATCTGGCTATTTTATCTGGATAATAATCACACTAGTAACTGATGTTCTTTTGAGCACCTCATACTGAGGAAAATAAGTGCTTATAACTTTTGATTGGCAGTTTTAAAAGAGGAAGAAGCAGCACCAGTGAGGTTTGAACAGGCTGAACAGAATTGTCAGCTGTGTCTACAACAAATACTGGTTCTGACTTGTGTTTAGCTGTATATGCAACTATACAGGTTAACTAGCATCAGGTCTTGGTGCATCTAATCAGATACTGCTAGTGAAATAGTTATATTCTTGCTCCTGATCACTACAGGCAGTTTAAATGATTGAATTGTAAAATCTTACTATCAAACTAAAAAAGATTAGCTGACTTAATTCCTTTGCACAACTTTATAAAAACAAAAACTACCAGGATCAAAATTGACAGCAACTGCTATCACAACTAGAGATCAATGAGGTACATGAACGCTACGGCAAGGGGAAGCCAGGACTTTAGGTCAGGACGAGATATTGTGATCCCCACCCTCTGAGATGGATACCAAGCCCCCCCCCAAAAAACTGATGCGTTCAAGGTGTTCAGTATGGCAGCTGGAAAACTGGACCCTTTTGGTCGATTACCAAGAATACGTGAAGTACGCTCTCAAGGTGTGACCATCACCGAAACCAACCAGCTCTGAATATCTCAGGCGGCAGTAACTTGAGAAAGAAGAAGAGCAAGTAGAGGAACCATTTTGGAAGGCACAGAGGCACTAATCATGTCTGCACAGGAACAAGCAAGATTGATAGAGGCTGGGATCTACCACACCAGGCAAGACCTCAGGTGCAGGCTGTGCAAAGAGGTCCCAAGATGCTAGCAGACAGGGCATGGCTGGCATAGTATACAGGGATATCTGTGCCAAATATAGCCTAAAGTCCCAAGGTCAAAATGGAATACCCCCCTCAGGGTGGTGGAGAATGACTGAGCGCAAACCAAACACTACCAGAGCCCCAGAATTTGTTTTCATCGTTATCTGCTACATGAGCTTTCCACACCCGAGTAAGATCAGTGTGTCTTCTATTATAAGCTGGAGTGATTCAGTAGAGTTCTACAGTATTTTACAATGGCTCCTGATCATAGGCACATATTACAGTAATTTATTAATACTTACATAATGTTACTTAAACATTAAAAAAGTGACCAATGATTTGAAATTTGCTATATAACAGAAACAATACAAAAGAAGGAGAGGGGAAAGTTCATGCTTACTCTGAATCACATGTTATTTAGTGGACCTGCCAGGTTATTATATAACACACATTTGTCAGTTGCTGCGTACAATAAAGTTTGTTCTTTGTTTTTGTCTACAGCAAGTAAAATATCAGATATTTTCTAATGTGCATTAAAATTACAAGCTAAATATTCTTGTTTCCAGTATACATTTATGTATACTTACCTTTTTTATTTTAAATAAAAAAAAACCCAAATAATTTCTGTAGATTATTTATCAGTATTATATAACATTTAAAAGGGAGTATGTGCTTTTGGTTATTAGCGCTTGTGCAGTATTTTGTTAGCATAAAAGACCCGACAGGTTTCACAGCATCGTTGGTACCACCTCATGTCCTGACAAAGGTCTTTATCCCGGATCACATGACAGTACACTGTCCACCTGTCCCCCAAGCACTTGTAGGTCAGAGCAGCTGTTGGGGTGGAAGAGAAGAAAGCAGCAATTCAGTATATTTAGCAGATGTGAGAGTCTTGTTAAATGTTAATAAAAGTGTACTTCATTAGCAATGCCTTCCCAGCAATCAATCATATCTTTTTACCAGTGTGACAAATTGAGTGGGATCATTCCATTTTTGTTCTAACAATGTCCTCCTAAGCATTTCTTTTAATTCCCCATTATACTACTTTTGCTTGTAATTAAATTATATTGCCAAAAATGTTAACCCACCTAAATAATTGATGTTCTAATCACTTCCACATAACCACAAGTGTGTAAAGTTAAGCAGCTAAGCATGTAGAATGCTTCTACAAACAGGAGTTCATTGAATTCCAGCATGGTGCTGTGATGCGATGCCACCTGTGCATCCCATCGCAGG